CTCCTAGTACACACTGCTCCCCTTGTTCTTCTATGTTCTAATAAATGCTTGCTTGGATGCATTAACTTTGCTACAGAAGTGGAAAATGTTTGTGGAGAGAACAGAGTAGTAGTGAGAAGACACCAAGGACAGATCTAGTCAAGTATTTTTTCAATATCAATTCTTGAAGAAGATGAAATCTGGGGGCTAATGTGCACATGTCTTTTTTTTAAATAATTTTTTGATAGTTGTAGATAGATGGCATGCTTTTATTTTACTTATTTTATATGGTGCTAAGAATCAAACCCAGTACCTCCAGAGTGCTAGGCAAGCACTCTGCACTGAGCTACAGCCCCAGCCCCATGTCTGTCTTAATGATGAAACTTTTATGGACTCCAACCTAATCCCTTTCATTCTACTTCCTTTTAGACATGGCAAGCAGCCCAGGGCAAAACAGAAGGTCAACTCAGTTTCCTAAACTATGTAACTACCTCAATGATAGCAAGTTGTAATTATAGGCTCCTATGTTTCAAAAATCTGATTCAAACTTAGCATTCTGTTCCTATTTCCCCCATTTCTGGACTTAATGTTATTTTCTTCAGTAAAACTCTATACTCAGCATTTTTCTGCTGGCATACCAATGCCCAGTTCCAAGGCTAAGTAAGCAAGCTTATTTCTTATGTGGGATATTTACCTACTTCTACCAGGGTGGTGCTTAAAAAGGCAAGTTCTATAAATTCCAAGAGGTACATCTAATACTCTTGGCATTCATTAATCATGTCATGCTGTATGTTCAGACCTTTCAGCAGGTAACAGTACAATGGTATCACCCCCCTATAGGAAGTCCTTTGAAGCTTGAAGGAGGATATGGCTAACCCAAAATAGGAAGGAATGGGCTTCAAGAACCAGCAGAACTCCTGGATCAAGGGTTAGCAAACTATATTTGGCAGGCCAAAGATGACCCACTGCCTGTTTTTGAAATTTTTACTGAAATTTTACTGGAAAACAGCAGGCTCATTCACTGATATATTGTCCCTGGCTGCTTCTGTGCTACAACAGAACTAAGTAGCTGCAACAGAGACTATATGACCTGCAATATCTAAAACGTTTGCTATCTAGCCCTTTGCCAAAGAAATCTGCAACTCCCATTCTAGATGAAGACAGAATGAGTTTTAATAATTTGGTGACAAATTTTCCTAGATCTGTGAAATCTAAAGTGGAAATGGTGCTAATAATAGGATTATTTCAAGAAATAATTTCCTGATTTAGGACTAGTGTAGTTTAGGTAACTAGCCTGTATATATCATCACACTATATAGAATAAATCAAAAGAATGCCTGATTGGAGAACTTCTAAGTAAAAAAAAATTCACCTAAATAAAAAAGGTGAATTTCACATCACCTACACTAACAGATTAGTTTTAAGCTAAAGTTCAATGTTACTGTTCAATATCTGAGGCTCATAAATTGCTACATCTAAGATTTGAGCTTTGAACTTGATCTCTTCACTCTAATTTCTCCAGAGAAACCCTTATTCAACAAACATAGAACGATCACTATTCTGTGCAAGACCCTGGTTTAGCCACACAACAAAATAAAATTTATGCTTGGAACTGGCCACATATTTTAGGAAAGAGACTATCCTAGAAATACCAAGGGACATTTGTACCAGGTTCTTAATAGTTCAACAATCTTACCCTGCCACTATTCTATCAGAAGATTTAGTGAGTAAAACCTGTGTGCTCTTCCTAGAGCAGGTTAGGAAACTTATGTCTCTAAGGCAGGGTCTATGATAGAATTCAGGAAGTCTGTGAATTTGGATCCAAAAAGGTTACATATCTATTTTCACTAACTTCTGATCAAATCACCATTTCTTTCAGTTATGAACAATAAGCATAAGCCACAAATGTTAATAATAGACTTAGTAGATAAATAGACTGCCACCAATAGAAATCATGGATAAGGTTTTTTTTAATTTAGTTGTAGATGGACACAATACCTTATTTTTATTTGTTTTTTATGTGGCACTGAGGATTGAATCCAGTGCCTCATAAGTGCTCTACCATTGAGCTATAACCCCAGCCTAATTTCTTATACTTGCTACAAATTCTCTTTAAATAGTATTTACACCCAAAACCATTTTTAAATTACTGTAGTTATAAGACCTACTGATAGACAATAAGCATTATTTACTGTATTAATAAAAAACACATATAGTGCTATATCATACACTTAAAAATATTTTGATACCTATTCCAATTGGCTTTTCTTATAATTCTATGAGATTTTGTTTTGTTTTAATTTTGTTTTGTTGCATATAAAAACATCATTCCAAGCCAGGTATAGTGGCCCTTGACCATAATTCCAGCTGCTCAGAAGGCAGAGGAAGGAGGACCATGAGTTCAAGGATAGCCTGGGCAACACAGCAAGATCCCATTTCAAAAGATTCCACAGGTTTCATCATACTGCCAAAGGAGTCATGACAAACAAGATTAAGACTCCTGTTCTAGGACCAAAAAGTAAGCACATCTATATTAGTTACATCTATATTAGTTACATCTAATGGAACTCTGCAAATTAAAAAAAAAAAAAACTCTTTTCTGGTAAGAGTCACACACTTATTATGTTCTCTAGGATAGAGCAAAGACCAATGTCACTATTTTTAGCAGCCCTCACTTCAAACTGGTTTGCAAATACTTGTGCATGTGATATAACAGCCTAGTAGATCCATGGGTTCCCTTAGCTCATTGGCAGTCATCCTAGTTCAAACACAGAAAGTCTCAAATTAACACAACTTTCAACTTCAACTTGTGATTACAAAAAGAAAGGAGGAAAAAGACTTTTTTTTAAAAGTAGCTACCTACAAATCTGGTTTGTAGATAATATAATTTATAATTCAATTATTTAGGAAAACTAAAACAAGAGAAATTGCAATAAAACTTTTCACACTCCCAAAATGAGTCAATATTGACATCAGATAAAGCAACCTGGGACTTCTGAATCCAAGGCTCTATTGGAATAAACCATTCTCCTTAAAGGATCACATATCCAAAGAGGAGCTCCCCAAGAAAAATAAAACTCCACCTATTTAAGCAAAGAGAAATTGTATGCTGAGGAGAAAACAAAGTCCATTTTCTCATAAATCAAGCTATCATATTGGGGTTTTTTATTTTTATATTTTGTTATTGTTGTAGATGGAAAGAATGCTTTTATTTTACTTATTTATTTTTATATGGTACTGCTGAGGATTGAACCCAGTGCCTCACATGTGCTATGCAAGTACTCTCCCACTGAGTTACATCCCCAGCCCTACCATATTGGTTTTCGGAAGAGAAAGCACAAAGCAGAATAGGTCAAAAAGAATCATTCCATTCAGGCAACACAAAGGATCTCAAAGGGAGTAATGCAGTCCCTAAGCCTAAGTGTTGTAACAATACTCAGTTAATTTCATCCACATCACAAACAGCCCTCTTGAAAGATAATGAGTAGAAAATATTTCAGTGCAACTGAAACATCATTTGAATTACCTACAGTAAAACACCATTCCCAGTATGTTAGGCTTAGCCTCCAGTACATAAATCATCAAATTGGATAGCTAAATGCATTAAAGACCCTCCCATATGGCACTCTAGTCACCACTGCTGATACTACTCATCCTTTTGTCTACCTTTTTTCCCATGATGTTCATCATCTGTTTACCATCGTTACTGCACCAAATCCCATTCTCAATTTCTTTTTACTAGCAACTCTATGTACTTGCAGAATCACTAAATATCAAGATTGAATAAGATTTGAAGGTCATACCTCCCTACCTCCATTTTATTCTTGGCAGAATGTTTTTCATCCCTATTTTCAGTTTCCTTCCCAAGCCTCACTTCTACCCTCAAAACTTCCCTTTCCTCAATGTCTATTCCTAGCAGTTTCTCCTACCACAAACACCTAAATATTCACTGCTTCAATAAATGTCACTGTCCTTATTTCAATAAAACTTCTAGTTCCCAACTAAGATCCCAAATTTCAGCCTTTAGTCATAACTAGTCAACTCAATTACATTCAGGAAACCTCCAGACAGTTCAATCAAATAAAGCCTGTGTCCCAACCACAGATCCCATTTTCCAAACTGCATCTCTGTACTTTCAAACAAGCCCCTAATCATAGAATTATTATAGAATTATTACATTTTAGTTCTGAAGAAAACTTAGAAATAACCTAATTCAACGTTTCTCAAACGTTTTACTACACTTTACTTCACACATTTTTTTTTTTTTTGTATTGGGGATTGAACCCAGGGACTGGGTTCACACTCCCAGCCCTATTTTGTATTTTATTTAGAGACAAGATCTCTCTGAATTTCTTAGCGCCTCACCCTTGCTGAGGCTAGTTTTGAACTCAAGATCCTCCGGTCAGAACTGCTGGGATTACAGGCCTGCACCCCGCCCCGTTTACTTCAAACACTTTATGATGTAGAAAATACATTTTACATCATAATCTCATATACACTTAAGTGAAACACATTTCATGAAATGATACCCTTACTATGTAAATATACTTAAATTTTCTATCTTATTCCATTTAAAAAAAATTTTTAGCTGTAGATGAACACAACATCTTTATTTTTAGTTGTTTATTTTTATGTGGTGCTGGGGTTCGAACCCAGAGTCTCACGCATGCAAGGCAAGTGCTCTACCACTTAGCTACAGCCCCAGCCCCTATTCCATTAAAAAAAAATTGGGTGCCATCCACTAAAATTAATTCACAGCCGGTTAAATGGATGGAACTCACAGTTTGGGAGACATTAATGTATATCTAAACTTCCCATTCACTGATGAAGAAACTAAAAGTGGTGAGATAGGTTTCCCAACCACAAAAAGTTTGGTTATACAATTAAATTCAGGTGTGTCTGATAAGTCCCAGACGAGTGTGCTTTCCACTAACGACCTCTGTCTGGTCACAGTCTTTGGGTCACACGCTATATCAACTGTGCCACAACCCTACAATACCATCCCCAATTACTGGTCTCACCCTCTTCTCCAAGTCAATCCCTCAAAGTGACTGCGCCTTGTTCAGGGTGCCCTCGCAGTTGCTGCTTCATGTTCCCTTCGGTCAGTCACTATCAGTCACTATCCATCGATCAGAGTCTCCTTGAGAGTTACTGCCCGGTGGTCACGGTCCCCTTGCAGTCACTGCCTGGTGTTCTTCGAGGTCAGAGTCCTTCGCATTCACTGCTCCTAGGTCACAGACTCCTCGCAAAGAGTAACCCTGAGTCATAGTCCCCTCGCTGTCACTATCCCTCGGTCACAGTAGCCTCACAGCCCGTTTCACACACCCCTCGCTTTCACTGACCCACTCCCCAGTCAGTCTCCCGCAGTCCCAGCCCCTCAGTCTCTCCTCTCAAACAGAGCCGCAAACATATGCACACAGAGGGTTCTCACCAGCAGCTCACGCTCCCCCGTGCCTGTTCCGTCGGATTTCTTCCAGGCTCGGAGTCACCGACAAGGGAAGTTGAGAAGGTTGCGGGGAGACGCCCGTGGAAGGCAGCTGACGGAACAGCAGGACGGAAGTCCCGCCTCCTGCTCTTTCTCTTGTCAATCCGATCACGACTTCTCCCCGAAACCCTGACCGCTGACACAGTAGTTCCGCTTTCACGGAGGCCCTCGGGAGTGAAGTGACGGAGCAGAAACACCTGGGGGCAGGAGATAAGAGTGGCTAAGTAAGGGTCAGCCTCCACCGGAAGCCGCGTGTGTGTGTAGTGAAAATGCCCCCTCCTACTGGGATGTGGATGTGCACATCCCACTGTAACACTAACACTCTCTGCAGTCGGTCAAGAAGCCTTACTCAACGGCTCCTTGCTGTCCCATCCCGACCCAAGGTGGTCCTTCTTACTGGCAGACACGCTGACACCTTAGCGTCCACAAACTGGTAGCTCAGACGCTGCGCCTTTTACCACATACTCGTGGCCCAGACTCTGCGCCCTTTACCACCTTGGTGATGGAAGGAGAATTTGTCCGCTGACAAGTCCTCCTCTCCTTTCTTCCAATTATTTTTGACCAGGTTGATTCACTAAAACATGAGCCTTAGGACTCAGCCGAAAGCTCTTGGAGTGGAGTGAATGCAAGGAGAGCACTGATAGGAAAACACACGCAGCAGGGTGTTTGGTGAAGAGAAGCATTTTCCTTTTGTAAAAAAAAAAAAAAAAAAAAAAAAAAAGAACCTTCGGTCTGGCATGAGTGAGGCACTGGGTTCGAGCCTCAGCACCATATGAAAATAAATAAATAAAATAAAGGTATTGTGTCCGCCTACAACTAAAAAAAAAAAATGTGGAGTGGGATGGGAAAGATTCCTTTTGATTCTGTAGATCAAGACAAGTGAATACATAATGTTATGGAAGAAATATCTAAAGGAACTTTTTAATGTATTTACTGATTTTTTTTTCTTTAGTCTACATGCTTGACTTTAAAAGTGGCTGAGAAGAATGTGACTAGCCTCCATGGAGAAAAGGGATTTAAAACTGACCCTCTCCCTTTTGAATTTCAAGTAGGTACTTGAAAATGGCTGATAAACTAAAATACCCCAAATAAGGACAGTTAGCTGCAGAAGACTCCAGGGCTTCTAAGGTGAACATCACTACAAAGATTGTTTAGCCAAGGACAGTGGTACACTCCTGTAATCCTAGCGATTCAGGAGGGCTGAGACAGGAGGAGGGCAAATTCAAGGCCCCCTTAGCAATTTAGCAAGACCCTGACTCAAAACAAAAAGTAAAAATGACTGGGGATGTAGCTCAGTGTTAAAGCACCCCTGGGTTCAATCCTAATACCAAAAAGAAAAAAATAGGTGTTTGGACAGTAACCTACATAGGAAGCTTAGTCAGTGAGCCTTAAGGGAGTTGGACATTTCTTATACCCTGACACTGGACAAACCCTGGAGATATAAGCATGGGTTTAATTGGTTGTGTAAATCAGAATGTCAATATTTGAGCAAAAACACTGGGTGAGAGAGATAAATGCAACAATTAAAAATATAGGGAGGCTGGGGTTGTGGCTCAGTGGTAGAGCACTTAACCTAAGTGTCAGGCACTGGGTTCTATTCTTAGCACCACATATAAATAAATGAATAAAATAAAAGTCCACAACATCTAAAAAAATTTAAAAATATAGGGAAAGCTCAGTGCACAAATAAATTAATCTCTGTATTTTTACAGTAGTAAAAAAATAGAAATTAATAGTCAGTCACTACCAAAAATGGCAAAAAACAACAGTAGTATAACCTACTGGAATGAATGTAGCTATTATGCTTCTGAAAATCATAATGAAAATAAAATGACATAAAAACTATTCATGACATTATGAGAAGTTAAAAAATCAGAGTGTAACATTTCATATCTGTTTTTTTAAAAAAAAAACCTACAAATTAAAAAAAAACACTGGTAGAAAATATAAAATATTTAAAATATTTACAGTTGGTTATCTTTGAATAACAAAAATGGTTTTTTTTCACTGCTTTCCAAATGTAATAAGAACATTATACAAAATCAAAACATTAAAAATATAAAGCCTAAAACACAACAGATCAAGTTGACAAACTAACAGCTTATCTTTATTTTGTCAAGATACTTAACAGAATAAAAAAAAAATGTCAGATTTCTTCATGGTCATCTTTTGCCAGCTTTTTCAAAGATTCAATAGTAGAAACACCCAAATGCTGCTACAACACAGAATAAACTGTCCTAAAAAAGAAATCAGAAAACAGAGAAATTCAGAATGATAGTGCTAATAAGGTAATAAGGGCAGCACAGGCAATTGAAATTAACACATATCAGATCTCTGTCCATTTTCAGTCTCAATTCTTCCCTTGGGCTGGGTGCAGTGGCACACACTTGTAATCCCAACGGCTCAGGAGGCTGAGGCAGGAGGATCATGAGTACAAAGCCAGACTCAGCAACTTAGTGAGGTCCTAAGCAACTCAGTGAGACCCTGACTCTACATAAAATATAAAAATGGGCTGGGGATGTGGCTCACTGATTAAGCACCCCAGGTTCAATCCCCAGTACCCCACCCCTAAAAAAAAAGTTTTCAAGTTTCTAAAGTATACCTATAAAGTTTCTTGCCTCTAAGTAACTACAAAATTGCTTACTAAAAGGATTTGATGGGAAAGAATTAGATTTGAATGAACAATTAAATGTGAACTAATGAACTTTAGGTAATGATTAATTATTTTGCATAATGAATAATTATACCCAAAGTAAAATAATGTATGAAATGCTTTTAAGTTCTTGGAGCACATGTGTTACCTAACTCAAGTAACTATAGTATACTATCCCTGATAATAAGAATATCAGCACTTTAACATAAATTCTAGCTAAGGAAATGGTCTCTGGGTGTTTCTCCTTAACTGATAAAAATTCACTTGTTTATCTTCTTAGAATGCTTTCCAAAGCCCAGTTCAACTCATTAAAACATTTTTAGGTACTTATTACAGGAGTTCCTCCTGCCTTAGCAATGTCTGATCCACCAACTTCATCTGCAGCCTGGTAGTGATGGGAGAAAAATAATCTAAACTCAAGTACCTGGGTATTAAACAAAATCAAAATTATTTTGGATATCTTCAAGCTGTGTTCTACAACAGTGCTATCTGTGGTGAAGGACCTATTAATTTCCTGTCCCTCATGGACTGACATTTTTCTAAAAACCTAGTAATCAGCAGAAGCATGTGAGGAATTTTTTTAAAAATTCAGATTCACTGATCCATTGTCTGGCTTATTTGATCAGAATCTACTTGAGCAGGGCCCTGGCATCTATATTTTAAACTAGTTCCCCAAATTATTCTTAGGCAGTCACAGCCAGTCTTTAGGAACATCTACTTCCTAATAGTCTAAATATAGTCTCAGAAAAATCCAATGACTTACCTAAAGCTATACAATTGGAAAGTGACACAGTTGGAAATAAAACTCCTCACTCCTAATTTATTCAGTCCAGTTTCTGTTCTACTCTAACTCTGACTGATCCAATCCTCTGATGCTCCAATCCTGGGAGCATCAGAGGATTGGATCATTTCTGGAAGCAGGTGAAAAATAACAGCATATAATTAAACTGCACAAAACACTTATGCCAATAACTCACCAATATTTAAAGAAACCTCTTTTTTTAAATTGCTCATTTTTTTCTGTTTTAAGAAATAGTTTTAAGGGCTGGGGTTGTGGCTCAGTGTTACAGCTCTTGCCTAGCAAGTGTGAGGCACTGTGTTCAATTCTCGGCACCAAATAAAAATAAATAAATGAAATAAACATATTGTTTCCACCCAAAACTAAAAAAAAAAAAAATTAATGGTTTTAAGATAAACCAATTTTATAACTGAAAGAAAAATCATCTTTGCTTGTAGAATTCCCACCATTCAAATTTCTTTTTAGCTTAGCAAAGTGGACTTGTTCAAATAAACAAATATATAATTAAAATCTTTAGTTATCATTTATTACTTCAATAAGGATTGTCAGAATTGGGTTTCAGAATACAAGGGTGTATAAGTCAGGTAGCTAAAAATAATATAATAATTTTTACCTACCTATTCCCCCCACCTGTCTTTTCCATGTTGGGGATTGAATCCAGGGCCTCACATAGGCACTACACAAGCAGCTGTCATTGAGCTGTATACATACAAGTCTCCTTGCCTATAAGCAGCATGCTAGGTTTCTACTTTACTAACACAAAAACTAACAATAAAATCATCTCATCTAAAAGAAGTTTAAGACAAATGTCTAAAATTAAAGTGTTCTCTGATCCTAATGAATGTACTTAATTTGATTTGGAATGCCCAACAGATCCTGGAAAGAAAAAGAGGTTTCCAAATAGACTTACATTCATGAAAACATCATAAGTATAGTTGTCAGTGTCAGCATCCCAGAAACATCGAGCAGCCATACTAAAAAAATCAAAGATCAAAAAATTATCAACACTATAACAAGGATCTGAACTACACCTATTTGCCAAAAGCAAAAGCTTTCTTTCATACTCTTTTTTTTTTTTAATTGTGCTGAGGATTGAACCCAGGGTCTCACACATACTAGACACGAGCTCTACCACTAAGCTTACATCCTCAGCCCTTCACACATTGTTCTGAATCGGTGCTTCCCAACCTTTTCACAGGTTAGTGCACAAAGAAAATTGTATTTATACAGCAAAGTATGCTGCATACCTTGAAGAGACATGATTCATAGGTGAGGCTGCTTG